GAGAGAGAGAGAGAGAGAGAGAGAGAGAGAGAGAGAGAGAGAGAGAGAGAGAGGCACGAGAGCGCAAAGGGTGTAAAGGAGGGTGGGGATAAACAGAGAGCAGAGAAGACACAGAGAGATGCAGATGTACAGAGAGGAGGCAAGACCAGATAGAGGTACAGCCTACATCAAGAGGAGGCAAGACCTTGTCCAGATATGACTGACATCAATTGCTTGGCACCAGCCCACACCAGAAGTGACATGTTAAACAGAAGAAGCAATATTCGAACAGTTCTGGCGCCCACTCGCATGTGTCTGGTTGGCTGTTCACACACCAGTATTTTGCATGCCATGCATTTGCTGTTCCATTCCCACAGTCCCACAGTTCCATTCCCACAGTTCCAGTCTTGGAGTTCCAGAGCCTAGCCCCAAAACCTCCCTCAAGTCACTTAAGAGGCTTCTTCATGGTCAAAATGAGATTTCCATTGGTCAAACGGGCCTGGTCAACGGATCCGGTCAAAGGTCCCGAATCAAGAGCCAGCCAAAACACCATGTCATGCACCATTACTCCCTCTCCCTCTCTCTCCTTCCGACTGCCCTTTGAAAAGCCGTTGCAGGCCTGGCCTGCGGAAGCCTACTCGCAGCTCATCGCACTGACCGAGCTTGGGGGGAACTTGCTGGGCGTATGGTAATTGCGGCAGTTTGAACACCCCGAGCGTCAGGAGCGGACCCGGCAGCCACCGGGCGGTTGGGGAATTTCTTCATGATTAACCAGGCCTGGCTTACAGAAGCCTACTCACAGCTCATCGGATGGAAGGAGCTCACGGGGGGCTTGCTGGGCGTATGGTAATTGCGGCAGGTTGAACGCCCCCTGTCCCAGAACCGGACCCGGCGGCCACCCGGCGGTTCGGGAACCTCTTTATGATTAACCATATCGAAAAGGCAATGACACCGAGAACGATCGGGCCACCGATTCCCACCACAACGCCAATGACGATATCACGTTCTTTCTTGTCTAACTTGCCTGATTTCTTCGAAGGCGGCGGGGGTGCATGGGGCCTCGGGACTCTAAAAGTGGACGGAAGCTGAGCGTTTAGCGCCTTCTCCATGAGGTTCTCGACCTTGTTTTTTGTGACAAAATCCTCCACGCTGGTTTGCCCGGACGCTACGCTGGCAATGTCATTCATCAGGTCCTCGCCACGGCTAATCGCGGAGATCTTTGCGACCATGGTAACAACTTCCATCACGTCAGGATTTTGTTCACCACTAGCAGGCAATGTTAGCTCTTCAAGGTTACGATTGAGTCCTGCCGACATGTTTGCCATTGCGAGAACCAAGTTTGGTGACAGCTCAAGGGACTTGTTAGCAATGACCTTATCGGCTTTGGCTTGGTCAACAGCTTTGTCCATGACATCCTTCATCACCGACGGGGAGGCCAGTGTGAAATCTTTTCCTTGATAGGTTTTGATTGCGGACGCGAAAGCTTTTAGCAAGGTGCCTGATGCGTCAGAGTACTGGACATTGTTCCCTGGTTCGACATTGGCCACCAGTTGAGCCAGCTGCATCCAGTGAGTGAAAACAGTCGGTTTCATGGCCATGGAGAAGGAGGGGTTTTGCAAGAGTGGAAACAGTGTGAGTGAAACACATGAAGGCAAGAGCCAAAGAACATAATGCCTCGCTCCACCACTCATAACATGCACAAAAGAACAAAATCATGGTGATGCATCTTCCCATATTCTAGCAGCAGATTCATTCTCATTTTGCCCATGTCATCGTGAACCATAGAGAGAGCTTCGCTCCATAGCTAGCTAGTTATGAAAAAAGAAGATCTGGTTTAATTGCGCCGGAGCCTGACTAGCTCTTTCTTTTTTTCCCTTTTTTTAACGGTGACGGCCTTGAGATATCATCATTGAGCTGACTGCCCCCAGGTTATTCAAAGGGATTTATTCTGTTCAAACTTAAGTCTGCATTTCAACAGTTTGTGGGGTGTACAAACTGAGCTACGCCTGTTGGTAGCCTGACTAACTTTAGCTGTGTCCCTCCAATGCTCTGCACATCATCACTCCTCGTGAAGCATCCGATTAAACCACCAGTACTTGTTCCAGCTATCGGCCGTGGACAAAAATAGAGTAGAAACATTTCTAGTTGGATGAACTTGGGCGCTCCTGTAGTGGCCCGTACGTTTCCTAACATCGTGGCTTGTTAGCAGCCATGAATTTAGGAAGTACTGGTGGTCTAAAACCACCAGTACCTCTGAGCCTCTTCTTTCCAAGTGCCTACCAGGCGCAGCAAGTACTCCTGGTCCAGTGGACCGTACCTTTCCAGAGTGCCGGGTCAAATCACCAGTACGTTTCCCAGCCAAAGAATAAAATGTGGCTTCCATGCAGCTGCAACTTTTGGGCCTCGGCCACCGGAGCAAAATGGCTGGCGACGCCAGCCAAAAGGAGGCCCACGCCGCTTCGTTTTCTTTTGGTCCACAGGTCATGTCCAGCCCCGGAGAAAAGCGCCTCGGAAGAACTGGTGGTTTAACCGGCAGGTGCACACCACAAGCTGGTGGCACTCTGGTGGTTTAAGGTGTGTCTGATGCATCCAATCCAAACACTGGAGGATCCAAAGACTGGAGGATCAACACTGGGACTAGGTCAGACAGCGTCACCAGGGGCTTGGCCAGGGTAAACTACAACAACCTGGGCTCTTAAAAAAAAAAAAAAAAAAAAAAAAAAAAAAAGTTTTCGGGTCACGGAGAAAGGGTTTGCATAACAGTGAGCGAAATACCAAGGATGGGATGGAATGACAAAAGGATCATATGATTCATAATTTCATATCTATTATTATTGTTGTTACGATCCTGGTCATTCCCAAAGTGCAAATTCACAATGAAAGACAATGCCACCCAATTGCGAAAGAAATGAAAGCACTTGCAAAGAGATAGAGACCAAAGAAGAGAGAAAGAAGAAGAAGAAGAAGTACACCAGCAAGACCAATGACAAATCCTCCTTCTCACTCCACCTTCCTCCTCCTCCTTCACTTCGCCAATCTTATTCTTCTTCCAATAATAATAATAACAATGAGTGGATGAACCAGAATCAATATCCAAAGTTCCCTCTTACAGCTGACACAACCTCAGGTCCACCATAGCCATGGCTTCCCCGTTCTTCCTCCTCTCACATGCCTAGGCTATGGCGGACTACTATGGGCTCTGCCCTCCTGTGCAAAGGACAACGCAAAGCAGCTATGTCACTGCACTCCTGTCCAAAGGACAACACAAAGCAGCTATGCCGCTGCTCACTATGCCGCCATGCCTAACTCTGCCTCGAGCTTCCTTGGTGTGGCACTACCCCAACTGGGGCCTTCCAGATGCAGCGCCCAACAAGGTGATGAAGATGGTGTCCACCATAGCCAGGTAGGTACCTCGCCACTCTCCTCCTTCGCCCCCTTCTTCCGCCTCCTCAGGCTGGGCTGCTTGCCATAGCCAGGCTGAGCACCCAGCCACTCTCCACCTCCCAGCAGCACTCCCAAGTCCAGCACTTGGCTCCAGCAGTATGTCGCCAATCCTTGCACACCGCAAATGAGTAATGAGGAGTAGCTGCTTGCTCCCCCTGAAGATATAGCGGCCTACTGGCCTCTTGGGCGGTAGGCCGAGCGGCCTCCCAGCAACCGGTAACCCCTCCCTTTCGGAGTGAAACATCATTGCAGGCTCTGATATCGTCCTGACAGGCCCTAGACTCAGGCTACTTGGACTGGTACGGGCCTACCTCTAACCTACCACTACTGGGCCTCTAAAAATGCCAACTTTTGTCTTCTTCTGCTGGGCCTCCAGTACCCGACATTTCTACCACTACTTGAGTGGTACCAGCCTACCTGCTACTTGAGTGTTTTTCCCGCTGCTCTAAGTGTCGTGGGCCTACCCCCGGTACTTGAGTGTTTTCCCGCTGAAACCCTCAAAGTCACGGCCACAGGTAAGTACCGGCCCTGTGGGGCCTTTCAACCAGCAAGTACCCTTGCCGGTCACATACACACTCAGGCCGACAAGCACTCAGACAGGCATGCACACACACACAGACTTAGAAATCACAGCAGAATGCGGGAATCTCAGCAAGGCATCCATTCCAGTGGCAAATCCCAGAAATCAGCAGTGTTCTCAGTCTGTGTTTTGGCGGGTCATTACATTATATTATTATTATTATTATTATTATTATTATTATTATTATTATTATTATCACGGTAGCTAGCGTTTGGGTCCGGCCGAACGTTCGGCCCCCATTGGAGGTGAATTTGGCCAGAACCGAACCCCAAAACAAAAACAAAACAAAAACAAAACAAAACAAAAACAAAACAAAAACAAAAAAAAACAAAAAAACTGAAAAAAACTATGCTATGCAGAAAAACAAACTGAGCAACTTTTGCCCTGGGGTCACATCGATATTCTTTACCAAATCGGGCAAAAGGTCCCGGGCCACTCTGGAAGCCCAGAATTATTATTATTATTATTATTATTATTTTAACACTTTGGATTACCAGCTACTTAATTCATTGACTGATTGATTGATCATTGATTGATTATTAGATAGTTAAAAAAAAGACTCCACCCGTTAGTGTGTGTGAGGCTTCTCTCTCTCTCTCTCTCTCTCTCTCTCTCTCTCTCTCTCTCTCTCTCTCTCTCTCTCTCTCTCTCTCTCTCTCCCCTTGTCAATCTCTTT